CCTCTACACATTCTGGATTCAGTTCTTCTGGTATGTGTATGATTTTCAAAGATGTCTGCCTTTTCACAATTAGTTCAGAATAAAGTGTTCAGTTTTGTAGAAATCTCCGATGCATCCCTCTTTTGTCTTATGAAGCATGATTTGGTGTCGTACCTAAGGGGTCTTTGACTAAGAACAGGTGGGGTTTCTTCTAAAGTTTATATATCTGTGGTTGGTTTCTTTCTTTTCCTTTTTTGAGATCTATAGTCCATTTTGAGTTCAGTTTTGTAGGAGGAATGAGAGTCATTTCATCATATAATATCTACTTTCTTTGCATGTCACAGCTACAATACAGGATACATTGTATATAATATATAATGATGATATCCAGTTGATCCTACATGTGAATGAGATGTCTGCGAAGGCAAGAAGAGGTCATCAGATGCCCTGGAGCTGGAGGTACGGGTGGTCATGAGCTGTTTGACTGTAGTAGTGGGAGACACACTCCGGTCTTCTCCAAGAGTAATAAGTGACCTTAGTTGCAAAGGCCTCATTCCAGCCTCATATTTCTCATATCTAGTAAGAACCATTAATACTACACACTCCCACACACATACAGCCCAGCTCCAAATAGTCTCACATTTTGATATGCTGCATTTTCATTTTCCCTCACTTGAAAGTAATACTGAATTTCCCATGAGCCATTCTCTTTTTTCTATAGATTTCTTAGAAATGGTTTAATTTCAAGTGCTTTGATATATTTCTGACATCTTCCTGCTAACAATTTCTAGTTTAAAAATGTCATAGAGATGCCGGCAGTGGTGGCCCATGCCTTTAATCCCAGCACTCAGGAGGCAGAGGCAGTGGATCTCTGTGAGTTCGAGGCCAGCCTGGTCTACAGAGTGAGTTCCAGGAAAGGCGCAAAGCTACACAGAGAAACCCTGTCTTGAAAAACCAAAAAAAAAAAATCATAGAGAGTATAACTTCAAGTTTTTTAATTATTTGTGTGTTTCACTATGTCTGTGCCTGTGTGTGTGTGTGTATGTCTGTGTCTATATTTATGTCTCTATGTGTGTCTGTCTGTCTGTGTCAGTGTTGTCTATGTCTCTGTGTGTGTGTGTGTGTCTGTCTGTCTATGTGTGTGTGTGTGTGCCTGTATCTGTGTGTTTGTGTCTGTGTGAATTGTGTGTGTCTGTGTGTGTCTATGTGTGTCTGTGTCTGTTTCTGGTCCTGCCTGTAAGTGATGGTCAATGCTAGGTGCCTTCTTCAGCCATTCCTCACCTTATTTTTTGATTACTGATTTGCTAGGCTATCTGACCAGCAAGCTCCAGGGATCCACCTGTCTCTGCCTCCCCAGAGCTGGGTTAGCAGACATGCATCACTATTCCTAGCCTTAGTATTCAGTTGGCTCTTCAGGCTTGTTAGTAACCGTTGTTTTACAGTCTAGAATGTGGCCTTCCTTGGAAAATGATTTCATGCACCTTGAAAGAATGTACCTTCTGCTATAGTTGAGTGAGCGCTTTATAATTGTCAAGTCGATGTATGAAAATGCCAGTTCGCTTCTGTTGTCTGGTTGTGTCTGCAACAAGATTTCTTTTTTACAGTTCTGTGGATACTCAGGAGAGGAGTTTCAGTCTCCAATGACAACTGCTGATTTGCCCCCTCCTCTTTTCAGACATGTCACTGTTTTGTCTTGTGTGTTCTGAAACACAGTTGTTAGGTGCATCACGTTTAATATTGTTGTGTTTTTATCTTGTTCTCATAATGTCACATCCTTCTGTATCCTGAGAAATTTTCTAACTGATGTCAGTGTGGACATTTCAAGTATGTGTTCGTGTTCATGTGTTTATATCTATCATGTGTTTATATCTATCATATATTTATATCTAGCCTCTTATATTTCATCTATCTTTTCACCTATTCATTATAAAGAAAAGCATACAATAATATCAAATTGTTTCATTAAAAGTCTTATTAATAGTATACCTTTTAATTATTGTGTAGACACATAATATTTAATATAAATGTTAGCACTCATGAATTCTGTCTTCCCTTTTCTGGCCGTATTTGTTTCTTTCCTTGTTTTCCCCATCTTATTTTCTTTTTCCCTCTGGTTTTTTTGGGGGACATTTTTATTATTTAATCTTTTACAATTTGTTGCAGTGTGAACACTAAACACTAGTTGTACCTAGCTGACCAAATCCAGGTGTGCGGACATTGTTTCTTTCTACATGTGCATCATGGCAAAGCACATCTCCAGAAGTCATTCCTTCTGCTGGACTGACCCTGCATTCCGGCCTTTCAATGGCTCCTCTTCTACCCAAGCCTCCAAGCCTTGGTACCTACCATCCCAACCTTTGATCCCAGGCATCTGACCACTTTAGATTCTTCATGTAAGTGATGTAAGTGTTTAGTGTTTGTCTTTTCATGCCTGGTTTTGTTTGTTTGTTTGTTTGTTGTTTACCTAACATGCTCTCTGTATTCATCCATGTTGTGATATAGTGCCAAAATTCCTTCCTTGTGGGTCGAATAGCATCCCATCATCTGTCATGTTTTAGCAATATTCAGATTTTTGTTGATTTCTTTTAGTGGCTGTCCAATGAATTAAAGCATAATAAAGTATTACTTTCTCATTCTCCTTAGAGTCAATGCTTCACCACTTTAACTGTTTAACTGAAGTCAATGCTTCATCTACATTAACTGATACATATATATAACTTATAACTAGATAGAGCCTTGCCCTGGCTCCTCTGTGTTACAATTAAATATCTATACCTACATTGAAAAATCTTCTCAGAAATATCGTAATTGTTTTTTTCATGTCTATTTACATGTTCACATTTGTATAATACATACACACATGTGTGCAGGCATATGTGCATGCATGTTCCTATGTACGTTTGTGTATATGTGCATATATGTGTGTGAAGGTTCAGAGTTCTCCTTTAGAGTCTTTCTTGATAATCTCTGGTTTGTTTGTTTGTTTGTTTGTTTAATTTTCTGAGGCAGGCTGTCTCTCTTTGAATCTGTAGCCTTCTGATCCCAGCTAGCCTGGCTACCAGCTTGTTTGAGATCCTCTGTCTCCAGGGGGCTAGGATTACAGGTAGCTACCATATGTGCCCGAGCCTTTATATGGGTGCTGGCTATTCGAATGCTGGTTGTCTTTCTTTAGGGTTACTATTGCTGTGACAAAACACCATGACCAAAAAAACAAGTTGAGAGGGAAGGGTTTATGGGGCATCATTTCCATATTGCAGTCCATCATGGAAGGAAGGGAGGACAGAAACTCAAACAGAACAGGATCCTGGAGGCAGGAGCTGACACAGAGGCTGTGGAAGGGTGATGCTTACTGGCTGGCTTCCCGTGGCTTGCTCAGACTGCTTTCTTATAGAACCTAGGACCACCAACTCATGATGGCATGACCCACAATGGGATTGGCCATCTCCCATCAATCACTAATTAAGAAAATGCCTTGTAGCTGGATCTTATAGAGACATTTTCTCAATTGAGGTTCCACCCCTTCAGATAACTCTAGCTTGTGTCAAGTTGACATAAGACTATCCGCCACACTGGTCTTCTCCCGTGTGTGACAAGCACTGTGTGCTGAGATATCCCCATGCCCTCATGATTGTCTGGACTTTCTGTGCACTGTCCTTACTATACTGTGCTTTTCAACTTCAAGTAGTTTGTTGTTATTTTGGCAGGAAACTGGGAAGAAGGCCACAAACTTCAACCAATCTGTGGCTGTAGTGTATTTCTGTTGTGGGACCACCCCTTCCATACTCATCTTCCAATGCTCCCCCCTTTTGAGACAAGATCTCACTCTCTAGCCTTGGCTTTCCCAGAACACACTATGTAAACCAGGCTGGTCTCAAACTCACACAGATCCACCTGTCACCTGTCTCTACCTCCTGAGTGCTAGGATCAAAGACATGCATGACATGCTGTCCCAGTGGCCTGTCTGGAAGGGTGGCAGTCTTGTGGCTCAGTTCTCAATGGATATGGCACCACATTTAGCAGCAGCGTCAGCTTGCTGATGATCCCTGGAATTATAAACAGTTTTGTAGCTTTACTTCCCTATGCTTCTGTCTGAAACATCTATACTCTTTCTGAGTTTCATGGGTCCCCTCTTCACCTCTTGGCAGTTTTCTAGCCAGGATGGGGCTTTATTAACCTCATCCTTCTATGCACATCTCACATTGTAAAAAGTCAGAGAAAAAAATATCAATATGAGTTCACTACACTCTGTTGGGACCCCAGCTCCTTATACTTACAGGGACAGTTCTCGGTCCTTAGAGAAATAAGCGCCTGAGTATCTCTAGTGACACTCTTTTGTTGAGGACACTGTTTCAGACACTGGGTTCTCTAAGTTCTGGGCAGTGACCCAGGGAAGGGATGAGAAAATATAAGAGGAAAGAAGGCTAGGAATCCTTTTTCAGTCTTCAAGCCTCACCTGCAGCTCTTTGGTTAGACTTCACACACTTAGAAGTCTTGGACCAACTCACGGTCTAGATCAGTAGATACCAAAAGTGGGGGTGGGGGAGATTTTGATAAGCTTCGGATTACTTATTTTTTCTAACCCACTTGTTCTGGTTTACTTTTCAGAGCCCTGGAATTGATTTTTCACCCTCTTGAAATGTGATTTTATTTATCCTTGTTGGGTGAATGTATGGGAGAGGGAGAAAGAGTGTGCACACATGCTTATGATACAGCATGCAGGGAAGTCAGAGGACAACTTCTGAGAATCGACTCTCTTTCTGACTTTATGTGGGCTCCAGAGGTTGAGGTTGGGTCATCGGGTGCACTAAGAGTGCTGTCACCTACTACATCATCTCAGCAGCCCTCAAAGTGAGTTTTCTAGGCGTGTCTCCAGGTTTTATGGCCGCAACAGGAAGGATAGTATCTCAGTTAGGGGTTCTATTGCTGTGATGAGACACCATGACCAAAAAACAAATTGGGGAGGAAATGGTTTATTCCAGCTTACAATTCTCAGGTCCATTGTCCAGAAAGTACTAGCCAGGAACCCAAAGGCAGGAACTGAAGCACAGCAGTGAGGAGGTATTGCTTCCTCACAGCATCCAGGACCACCAGCCCAGGGGTGAGCTGGGCCCTCCCCTTATCCATCATCAATCAAGGAAACGCCCCACAGGCTTTGGCACAGGCCAATCTGATGGAGGCATGTTCTCCGTCGAGGTCCCCTCTTCCAAAATGATTTAGCTTATAACAAGCTGACATAAAACAAGCAGTCAGGATTGTATGTGTTTATTTCATCTTACTCAACATGTCAACCTGGGAATAATAGGTTATTGAGAACTGTCTGTGAGAACTGTCTGGAAGACCACACAGGGTGGATAAGGACAGATTGGCAGTGTGTCCTGGAGGGACAGCACCCGAATTTAAATAGGGATGCTCTTTTATAGTGAAAGAAAGCATTGTGACCATTGTCTTTGCTCAATATGTACAAAACAAGGGGCAGGATACATGGCCACCTTGTCTACATGGTGAGTCAGAAAATAGTGCTTTGCTCTCACTCTCCTGAGTCTCAATGCTCATCTGCGGTCTCTCCTACATAGGAAATCTGCTTTGATTATTCTCTTTATTTTGTCTAATATGCATGAGGTAAATAACTTTTTGTCGTAACTGCAAATCTTCACTGGACCTAGCTATGGGAAAGAGAACATTCTATAAACAAGGACTGGGTATTTCTGCTTTCGTGTACGTACAAGTCATGAGACACAGTGAAGCCAAAGGCAGAGAAGGCTCTGGAATTCTTGGGAGCACAGTTATCTTGGAACAAGATAAACCTGGCTGCACTGGCCAGAAGAGGTTTCTGAGTCTGTGATCTCAGAAAGAGGTTGGCAGGAAACCCAGGAAACGCGGCCATAGCCAGGGCACAGTGGTTCAACAAGTGTGGGTTCCTCCCCACCGGGATCCTTCCCACAAGAAGCTTCCTCCCGGCATAATTTATACCCTTTGGCTCCTCTCTAACTCTGAGATTTCCAGCAAGGATGCTGCTTAGCGCCAAAGCCACAGTGGTTCTTATGATGTGGTGCTCCTGTGCAGAAGGACCAGAAGAGCCATTTCACATAGGCACCAAGCGGCCAGATGGCAGTAGCTGACCCACTCTGCATGTGGATCTCATTCGGTCCCCAGTGGATGAGACTCATGACATGTGAATCAGTTCATGAGATGCTGTCCTTTACTGCCCCCATGACCAGCCACCCTGTTCTGACAGGGAAGGTGGAGTTCAAAGGTCATAAACATCTGCACCAAACTGGAACCCTATTTTAGCTGCAGACCAACTTATGAGAATCATATTCGCCTTGCTAACCAAAACGACGGGCTGGCCCTTAAGCGCATCTTGTTATCAAGGAAGACTGAAACTAAGACGGCTCAGTCACTGTGCATGCAGAGGGATCACCCACCCTAAGCAGGCAAATGGCTCATACAACGGTATGGTACCCATTCAGTTCTTGTTGCTTATCAAAGGATGCACGCATTTATCCCCCAGACTCTCGGCTTCACTATTGCTGCCTTTCCAGTTTGTAGGCAACTGCTAGTCCACTCCTTGTCTCTTTGTTGGATAAATGATCTGTGTCTAATTAGTCCCTGCTTGCAGTCCTACTGACTCAGGGTAAGATGATCTATTTTGATTTCTGCATAAAAAGGTCTCTGGCCAAGGAAACAAGGAGAAATTTAAATCAGCTCCATCCTGTTCCTAAATCTAAATCTTGCTCAGACTCCACCCTCCCAGTGGGAGGGCTGTGACCTCTATGTTATGCACAACTTAGGAGAACTAGATGGAAATTTTTTGACACCGTGGATGTCGACCTTGTATTTTTTTTTTTTTTTCTGGAGCTAGTGACTTGCGATAGTACTGAGCAGGGCAGGAAGCACACCTGTGACTCAATCACAAGGGAAATGGTCACCATTCTACAGGGTACCCTGTTGCTAAGCTGTGACACAGGAGGAGTTCACGAAATGCATTTGTGACTCATGATATTTTCTGACAACAATGGATTTCATGCACATTATCCAACCGCAGGTCTGGAAACATGTCATGCCGCCAAAGTCTCGTTTCCCACAAGGACCCAGGAGATCCTATTTATCTTGTGCTGTTAGTCTCACCTTTTATGTTTCCCCTCTGTGTTTTAGAGTGGATGAATAAATATGCAGCAAAGATTTCCTTACAGAAAAGCTTTAGATAGTTTCCATCACTCGTATCTAATAAAATGAAATCACATTTATCTGATTGTACACATACACACATGCACACACACATACAGTGCAAAACAGGCATGCAGGGGACAGCCCACGGCCACACAGGAGCAGCTGTCCCAGCTGATTCTGCTCAAGCTACTTGGAGACTCTCAGGGCATCATGTGCTGAGTGCATGCAGAGGTCTAGAGTAGAACACTCTGTGTCCATTCCAGGAACTCAGACCCTGAACCACAGCCACTGCTTCATTCCGCTGCCTGTCAAGCTTGCGTGACGAGGAAGGAAGTCAGACTCAACTTTCTACCAGCCTGACCCACGCAGTAGGTTCTACCCATCAGCACCTCTTCTGGTGGCTGGAGAGGAGGAGGTTCTGGGCTCCGTGCTTGCTCTCTGAGCTGGATACTCCTCCTGATGGTTTCTCTCTTGCTAGGTCCTTTTCAGGGGGAAAAGCCCTCCGGATGATTCTGAGCCGATTGCACATAAACCTGTTGGAGTTCTTCACTGGCATGTGATAACATATCTGGGTCCAGAACCTGGAACTGGGTTGGACTGATTTCAAGCCTCTCCACGTGACTGTGGGAAGAACTCGGAGAGCCTTTTTGACTAGATAAGGTAGCGATTCTGGCACTCGGAAGGAAGAAAACTTAATTAAAATTAGTTTCAGTGTCTGATCACCCAAGGCAAGTTTCACTGCTGCTTGTAGTTCAAAGACACAGGGTCCGTTGACATAGCTGGGACTCAGGATAAATATTCCTCTTCGGCTTTTCTTAATGATGTTCACAATGTCATCTGCATATACTGGAAACAAATAAATGAGTGACTTCCAACTGATCCTATTAAAAAACTTGAGTCACAACTTTGTACCTCCAAGAGATGCCCGGTGGGTTTCTAATTTGGATATTCTTGAGCAAAGAGATAAGGAGAAAAGTTCTCTCTGCCCTTTTTATTGTTGCCACTCCAGACTGTTGAAGATAGGCACCAGTACCCAGAGGCTGTCCCTGTATTCCGCCTCCCTGAATTCCCATCTAAATCGCCTAAATCAGGTTGGAACATGACAGAGGGATATGATACATCCCAGGCTACTTGTGCAAGTGTCTGAGACAGGGAAGGTTAGCAGGCCATTTGAGGCCGGGATGCTTCATGGGTGACATCCAGCTGACCGACCTGCTGCACCCCAGGCTGAAAATTTGAGGAGTAGAATTCTAGAAGGTAGGACAGCCTTCTGTTTGAGATGAGAGAAATTATTTCCCACAGGGGATCCAGGGAAAGCCCCTTTGTCCCGGATGGCCTGCCTAGAGCCCTCTATTATTTTATTATTCTTCTGAAAATAGATATTTTTAGAAAGCAGAGCGTGTCTCTGGAAGACACTTTTCTGTATTCTTGCCCAAGATGATCTAAGCTCATAAAACAACAACAAAAACCAAACCCAGAAGATCCCAGAGGATGTCTGTCACATGGACGGTGTGATAGGAAAAGCTTTGAGCTACAGTGGGTCACTCTTGTGTTCTACTTGGTGTCTTGGCAGGCAAGACCTACCTCCTCCTGGTGTCACATCCCTCTCAAGCAAACACAGGGTGTATCCATATTTGTTTTCTAGCACTTCCGGGAAAAGATTCAGGGCCAAGTGTTCCTCGCTCAGTGATCCGGTGGCTTCACTCTCAGGAGAGCTCCGATTTGCATAGGATATAAAGGCGTCAAACTCCTTCTTGTCTGAGGAAAAAGAACAACACATAGCCTATGCCCTTTTTTCTTAACTACCACGGTATGTCCAGATGCTTGGAGCATATGCTAAATGGATAAGAAATAAGATCTGGGATCCTTACAAAAACGAATTAAAAACAAACCCAGCAGATGCATCCATTTTAAAATCATACCACCGAGTGGTTTTGGTTGTCCATATAAAACCCAATGATTAATTTATGAAGCACCCCAGTGCCTTCGCTGGGGATAGATCAAACAGCTGGGGCCTCCCATGATTGAATCACGTGTGATTGGGGAGGGCGCCTTTCTTTGCGTCTGCAGTGTTTCTGGCTCATTAGTTACACATCAAAGAGGAGTCTGCTCCATTAAAGCATGATAATAACCAGAAAGCAAGTTCTGCTAAGACCAGAACCTTGTATCCATCTGAGAGATGATGGTACACTTAAAACCATGCACCACAAGCAAGTCAATAATGGGCACATGCGCAGTGGAGGTCCTGTAAGATGATAACACACAGGTAATCCCCATGGCCTGGTGCTGCTGTAGCCATCACATTACAGTGCATCCCATTCCCCCCATGTACAGTGATGCTGGTGTGGTCCACTATGTACTGAACATACGGAACTATAGCAGTCCAACCATGCCCAGTGCGTCACACTTGACAGCTGATAGCGCATAACTGTCTGACTGGCCTATATATTTATTGTACTACACTTCTCATCACTGTAGAATACATGTCCACTTCTAAACAGTGTTTGCTCTAAAATACCACTGGCAGCCTTAGAGATCTGGTATTTATCAAGTCTTTTGATTGGATAATTTTTCTCTTCTGCTTAATTGAATGTTGGCTGTATTGCTCATCACAAACCTAGAAATATTAGGGATATATCTGTACATCTACAGAAATAGCATATATGTGTGTAGTAATAGACATATATACACACACACTCTCCAGAGAGCCCACAGCCCAGTGTGTGGTGGGTTATACCATCTAGATTTATACAAGTACAGTATATTTTGTTTCTACAAAGGAAAGTAGCCTAGAGGATACATTGTCATTAAGTGGCACTTGGCAGTACTTGTATCTGAATCTGTGAGTGTAGGGTAAGGTCAGTAGAGGTTCCCCGTAGGCTGTCAAGGGTTACATGAGGTCATGCCTAGGCTGTGTGGGAGTTTCTGGCTCTTTCTCAGCTCTCCCCTTCTATTTGAGAAGCTACATTTAAAGAAATCATTTTAGGTCTCTTGTGAAGATCTCTTGTGCTTCTGTCGGGCAGATAAGTTATGAGACATATTAAAGAACTATGTAGAAAAGACAGAAAACCCCACACGGTAACTCACAGGCTTTGGGATGGAGTGCCTGGAGTTTGAAATCCAGCCTGTTTCATAACCTCCAGCCATGGTGTTGTTACCGGTAACTAGCGTCTCAGACTGTTTGGCAGTGTGAGCCCAATATGGAAGCCATGAGAGGCCTTAGGGATTGCCAGTCGTAAGGGAAACCAAACATCAAGACGGGATACAGATCTAAAGTTCCAGAAGCTGCTTTTTTACTTGATTGCCCATATAGGAAGAAAGAGGTAAGCGCTGATGTGTTTAAATGTATAACACACCATGGCTGCCTCTATTCCATCCAGTCTTGTAAAAATCCCATGGATTTTCTATAATTCAAAAGATAAACTTATTTAGTAATGAAGTTATGGAATGTGGTGTTAGAGGACCTGCTTATGTCCTCCTAACACTATTTCTTTCTAAATTAAGTGATAGTCAAAATCAACTCTTAAGCTTTCTTTTTGCGGGCAAACATCTGTCTGACCAGCAGAGGGCGTGAAATCACTGTGTTTGAAAACCCAATTCTGCAGCGCAAATTATTGCATAGTTAAGTGAAATGACAAAGGACAAATTTGAATATTCCCCGACCAACTGACTCTTCCTCATAAACTCTAGAATCTTAAGGTTTAAAACAAACAAACAAACAAAAACATTTTAGTGAAAGAAGTGTGGAATCACCTGGGAACATTGGTGAGACATTTGTTCCATTCAAATAAAAAGGCTAATTAAACAAACAAAAATTCTGAAAATACTCTTCGCTTAAGGATTTCCAAGGATGTTACCAATAATCAATCTAAAGAAAGCTGTGAGGTATGCTTTTTTCCTCCTGTTTTCTTAGATTGATTCTGGGTGATTCTTTCTGTGTTCTGGTGTCTGGGGTTGAACTCGGACCTGGCATAGTTTTTACTTCCTTTTCTGGGTGATGAAGGCACTTCCTTCTGTAGAAGCCACAGGCCTCCAGGAGGAGCCTCCCAGGGAGAGAGTGTTTTTCTCTGGCACCCAGCAGGAGGCACTTCTGCTCCAAACAGCAGAATCCTTCACTGAAACTGTAAATATGCTAACCTGGGGTTTTCCGGGGCCAGCAAATGTTAAAGCAGTATTCTAGCCCCATACAACACTGATGAGTATTGTGATCATGTCTGGTGGGTAAATCGACAGAAACTTCATCACTAATAATGGGACTTGCATTTCATGCGACTTCCCATTCATTTGGGACAAATCCCGGGCCTGGAAGGTCTTATTTTCACATGATGATAACTGAAGTGATGGGATTTCCTCAAGCCAGACTACATAGATTTAAGGCCAAGATACAGCCATTTCTAGTGCTCTAATCTGAAGGTCACGCTTCGTCCTCCTCTGCCTCAGGGAGCTGTGAGAAGGCCAATGTTCAATACACAGGCAAGGCATGAGCTCCAGTCCTCAAGGGGCATCCATTGCTGACCAAACTGAGTTTCTATGCACTAAGGTGTCATTCTAAATGCATACCATGCCTGATCTCAGTGAGCCCACACCACTGTCCCCTGCCTGCTGCGGTGACAGTCCTGTTTTGTGGATGAGGAACCTAAGGCACGGAACTGTCACTTGCCGTATCACCTCAGGTTGGTTAGCAGCGAGAATACTTTCAAGCCCCACAAATCCCACAAAAGTCTTCTACAAGGTTCCTGGTAAGTAGAATGGAAGTGTTTCTTCGGTCTTCTCTGGTGTAAAACCAGAGCTGGAAGAAGATATCAAACCTGAGAGATAAGAAGCCAGGCATCAGGCAGTCGCTTCCTCTAACTTCCTCTTTCACATGCTGCTCGGGACAGCAGGAGGCATGTGAAACCATACCTAAGACAACGCTAAGAAAAGGTAGGTAGGAAGTCACGTGTATCTTGTCTCGTCACTACGTCAGAGAATAGCGTGTTGGGTGATCTTACCCCTCAGCGTCTCGTCCTTGCTCTTGTAGGCTCGGCACAGCAGGACGATTTCAATCCAGTACCAGTAGAGAAAGGCGGCTGCGACCAAAATGCCCACCAGCATCATGGCTGTGCCAAGGAGGATGTATACAAACACCACTGAGGGAAACAGAGCTGTGAGCGAGCACATCTGGACCAACATGCCCCATTACGTAGTAAAATCCCTGCTGCTACCGGCATTTATTTATCTTGACTCTGAGATCATCTTAAGTCTGGATGGAACTGTCCACAATTCACTTTAGAGAGCCAAGGGGCATGGGAAGTTCCTGGTGGGCTGACCTTCAATACATAGCCATTTTACTTATTTTTACTCCCATGAATGTCTGCACACCTCAATTGTACCTTTCCCATTGCCTGTTATAAATTATCATCTTATATTATAATCATCACTAAAGTCTAAACATTCCTAGACCGGGAATTCCATCAGCTTCACTCCGCACCCTCCGTGATCCATCTTATAAATAAGGGATCTACAGGGAACAGCCACTGTTACCATATACCTAGTGAGGGTCCAGCATGAACACTGTCACCCTATGGCTCAAAGATGGTTACACTTGCTTGACTGTGCTACAGTCACCCAGTCAGTGAGGTGTGAATGACTGATACCAACCTCATCTCTGGAAATCTTGTTTTCTGGAAGCCAGCAAAGGCAAACAACCAAGAGAGTGATGTCTGAACACTGGTCCTGCCGCAGTGGGTGTGGGTGTGGGTGGGGCTGGAGATTCTTGTAGGTACCAGTGGAATGAATGAGAGAATTGGGTGCATGAGTGAATGAAGAAGTGAAAGGGGTAAATGAATGGGTGATGGGATGAGTGAACTGTGTGAGTAGAGAGAGAGTTGAGTAAAAGGTGTTTTTATGCACAGCTTAGCAGGTAAGAAGCCTAGATCAAAATCATGCATGGTCAAAGTCTTAAATGAATTAGCACAGCAAAGTGCTTCAGTGTCTGGATAAATGTTCGCTGCAAACATTGCCTCTCTTTTTTGGGCAAAATGTCCCTCCCCCTTTCAGAAAGAACAGATATCCATGTTTAGGAACAAAGTTCTAGGCTTACCCCCCTCCTTCTTCCTCAGCTGGATGGTCCGTGTTGTGTTCCCGACGGAGTTCTGGGCAAAGCAAACAAACTTTTTGCTAAGATCTCTTTGAGTGACTTCTCCCAGGAAGGCAGTGCACTCCATGACTTTGTTCTTGTAATTGGATTGAACGCTAGGAAAGGAAGGAAAAAAGGCAGCTCCACTCAGTAACATCAACTGCCCTTCATCCAGCTGTGCTTGGGAGACTGACAAAGAGCCAGTGGAGATTTACCAGAAGACAGTGGAAGAGCAGGAAGAGATGGAGCAGGCTCTTGTTCCTCATCAAGTGATGGACTCTCCAAAGGATTTACACTAAGAAATAAGTTACCTGTGGCCCTCATCTGAACTTTATTCTAAGAATTCCCCCTGGGAATGTGGAATACTAAGAATTTAAGAATAACCTCAGTCTGTAAAGTGTTGGCTTTCCAAGCATGAAGTTCAATCCCCAGAACCCGTGTCAAAAGCTAGGCATGGTAACGTGTATTTGTAAACCCAGCACTGAGAAGGCAGAAATGAGTAGATCTCTGTAGCTCCCTGGCTGGCCAGGCTACCTTAGTCAGCAAAAGTCTGCCCACCCCTCACCCCCACTCCCCCTTACCTCCACTACCACCACCAAAAAACAGGGTGAGTGGCATGAAGCATGAGATTCACCCCTACCCTCCATACTCAGTTACACACATGTGTATACATACCTGCACACACATATGAACACACACACACACACACACACACACACACACACACACACACACACGCAACTAATTGTTCTCGCTGTTTGCTGGCAGGTACCTTGCTGAGCACTGACTATGGATTCTCTAATCTTTTCCTTCCTCACTGCACACAAACCCTAAGGAGTCGGGATATGAACATCTTAACTTGGTAGTGCCAGGGGCAAGGCTCAGAGGATGGATGAGCAGTACTGGGTCACTATGGTAACACCATCCTGTGGATATGTCTGGACTCCAGCTTGGCTCCCAGATCTCTGCCAATCTTCCCTGCCCAGAAAATCATGATTCTCCACATTTGTTCAGTTCCTATTGTCTGAAACTGCATCATCCATTTGTCACATTAAGAAACTGTGTTCAAATGGGTATTTTAGGTTACCCTTCTGTGAGTCTACAGTTAGCCCACAAATGTTTCCTGCCTGTCCCACATTGTCACATGCATGTGGCTTCTACTGCATCTATCCCTGAGAGTGACCTTGCAAAATGCAGGTATCCAGTCACAGAATATGCACGTAGGTAACAGAGCCTCACAGTCACAGAGGACCGAGGTCACCTTGCCACTTCCTGTGAAACAGATTGGAACCCACAGGTGGATGACTTGAGAGCATGTGCCTGTCACGCTTGTCTTGCACAGACTCTGAGCAGGGTCAATCTAAGACCCAATGGCTTCTTGCTAAATTTCAGTGTCTTGAGTAAAAATCTTTCCTTTATTCTTCATCTGTGGTTTTCAAAGTACACATTTGTTCAGTAAAGTCTTTAAAAAAAAAAAACTAGAGGGAACTTTCTGCAGATTCTTATTTTGCATCCCATGTGGAAACAAGAGGACACATCTTCTAGTGGCATGTCATGATGGGACCTCAGGTCTTCCTAGGACTAGAGACTTGTTTTTCTAGACGTTGGCTGGCTTGTCTCTGAAGGTCTACAACTTTCCTTTCAACTGGTCAAGTTCTCTCTCCCATAAAATTCCAGGTTTATTTTAGTCACAGACAACAATAAAAGAAGTCTAATTATCATAAAATGCTGCAGCCTGCTGGTATTCCTAAACAGACAGCTCCCTTCTAAGGCTCCACCCCAGTGTAAGCTGCTTTACCAATTCTCATTTGTCAGAGTCTGTGTTATGGTGCCATTTCCTTAACACACTGGATGAAGGCACATTTGAAGATTGGGGAGGGCAGGAACCATCATCTCCCATTTCTTGAATGTGCTACTTCTAGTCCAGCATTCTGAATGAGTGTATCCATCTACTAGTTGATCTTAGATTTTAAAACAGTAACCTTTCAAACCCTTTTATGAGCTGAGGACGTGGGCTAGTGATAGAGTACCTGCTCAGCACAATGGATGTCTCAGCACACACACACACACACACACACACACACACACACACACACACACACACACACAAAGAAAAAGAAAGGAAGAAAGAAGGAAAAAACAGGGAAGAAAGAAAGAGAGAATTAGCTTTGGATGTGGTTGGTTCAGTGGGTAGAGTGCTGGCCTAGCATGTATGAAGTTCTGGCTAGATCCCAAGCACCACATAGAGAAGGTGTGGTTGTATATGCCTGTAACCCCAGCACTTGAGAAGTTCAAGATTATCCTTGTCTACATAGAGAGTTTGAGGCCAGTATGGAACACCCAAGATACTGTCTCAAAAAAAAATTAAATTAAATTAAAAACACTTTAACATGGTCGAGGATGTTTTAAATCATTGTGCAAACATCATTGTGTGCTTAACACAGGCAAGATGGCTCCAGCATCACTAAGTGATACAGTCTTAGGGGACAATTATTATATATGGTTCCATCACTGAATAACTGCTATGCATATCAAGTTCACTTTATAGTCTCCTCAGAAATGGAGTGCCTGCAGGCCTAGATGATAGATAGATAGATAGATAGATAGATAGATAGATAGATAGATAGATAGATGATAGATAGATAGATAGATAGATAGATAGATAGATAGATAGATATGTATGTATGTATTTTTTATTTTTACCACAACCATTAACTCTATCTGTTCTAGCAATTTCTAAAGGTTTGAAAGTATCTAGTGTTAGCATTTAAGTATTCCCTGGCCAGCCCCTTGGGGGACCTGGCCAATAAGCAGGCAGTACTTTGGTTTACTCAGGGTCCTGACAACATCATCCTATGTAGCCCATTTGTGCATTAAAGTCTCCTTTAAGAGCAAACCCCTCCACCACCACCACCACCCCCCTCTCTTCCCATGAGGCCACGTCTGTACCTCTTCTCTTCTCCCTTTCCTGTCTCTTCTTCTCTTCCTCTCTATTATTTTTCTTCTTCCTCTTCTCTTCCCAGCTCTTCTCTCCCCCTTTCCAATAAATCCTCTACATGAGCACTGTCTACATGGTGTGTGTCTCTCCCACACTCTGTGGGGTCCCTTGGCTCCAACCCGCCGAGACTGCCACCTGCCATTTTTAAATTATAACATCTAGTTTGGGTTGAATGACTAAGTTCACTCGCTTTTTCTTACCAATTCTTCTTACATTCTTTGATTTCCTGCTCCTGAGTAGATTCTTTGACAAACCACTTTATTACTGGCGGAAAGTGTTTTTGGAAGCCAAATTGTACTTTGCAGGATAGCACCAAAGACTTTCCTGAAAATGCAGAGGTCAAGAAAACAGTAAGGAAGCACATCAGAACATTAATGTCGTGGGCAGACCAGAGGCTACATGGCGATGTAGCCAGGTGTCAGGCAGTGGGTACCAGGAATAGCCAAGCATCAGTACATCCCAGTTAGCAACATACTTCCTGTTATGTTGGTCCCTTGTGGCTCATTTGTGTATCTCAAATGTGTAGCTACATCCTTGACACTAGGATTTCACCATCATATCCCTAGGGAAAAGTTGTGGCTCTGTGAACAGCCCAGTCTTTAACATTAGTGATGACGTGTAAGATATATCAAGAAGATCATTTTACTAATTGATATTCACCTATTGAATAAACATCATAAGGTTACCATGAATGGAAAGTTCTGGAAAAAACAAACCCACAGACCTTACGCCAAACCTTCTGCAAGGCCAATTGATGGTTAGAACCTCAATGACTGTGGAAAGGTTGGCCTACTCCAGGTTCACAGTCTCGTCACAATTTATCTTGGGCCTTTCTTACCCTCCTTAACAGGTATTCCTTGACCACCTCTGTAGCTGACTTAACATCCTTATGATTATTAAGATGTATTAGTTTTTTTTTTTTTTTTTTTTTTTTTTTTTTTTTTTTTTTTTTTTTTTTAGAATATATTAGTGTAACAGACCACTGGCTTCCATCAACCAAAATGCTCAACTGTCATGTGATGGCATCTGGGACTATAGCTGAGGTTTCCCCCGGTGTATATGAAAAGTGTCTTAACTTACTATTTTGTTTCTTTATTTTCTGTTACCATGAAACTGTTTCCACATTGGAACATGGACTTGGGGTAACCCAAATCTATGTTCCCCGGGGTCACAGTCACTCATATCTGGCTCCAGAATAAACTGTCTATTGTCACTTTTGAGGTGAGAGGTGTACTTTCCTTCCCACATTACTACAGCATGTAGTTTAGGGAGGAGATTATTTGGAATCTCAGCTGTCTTCTGCATACTGCACCATGGGTGAGCCATGAATGTTATTGGACCACCCTTTGCCTACCACCCTGTAAGGATTAGGACTATCCTCCTCTTGGAACTGACTTCTGGACGAATGGTTAAGGAATCCATTTGAAAGCTCCTCTTTGGATCTTTTCCCACCGGCAGTACTTTAAAATTCATTGGTACCGTACACAACTTGGCAGAATATTTTTAATGGATTGTTTTTGCTTCGTTTCCCTGTTTGTGTTTTTCCTCTTCACCACTGTTTCTAGCCCCAGAATGTGCCACTACCGCCACCTACTGACCCTATAGTGCAGTAACAACTTGTTTACATTTCTTTGGAGGAAACTAAATCTTTCATTGGCATTTGAAATGGTAAATATTGCACTGAAACACCACAATTTGCTTTCAAATACAAAATTTCTACCTGGCTGTGTATAGAGTAATAAGAGGTTGGCTTTGACAAAAATAAAAGGCAATCAGATGAATGTCAGTTTCTCCTCTCCCCAGAAGAAGGCACCATTTTGGAGTACATTTGAGCAAGAGTTGCAGGGCTATAATTTTCCTAAAGAACAGCCCAAGTGTCATATTCATAAGAGTTAATGCTAACTTTGTAATTTCATACATATAACATAAATGGAAATATATGCACATATATGCATATGTGTATGCGTTCTGGTGGGAAGAATATGAAACCTGTTCTTCTTGTTTAGTACTCTAGAATATGTTTCCTCACTCTATCGCAATGGAAGATCAGCATGTGACAATGAGGGGCAGCTCTAATGACTGGGACTCAGAAGGGTAATAGAAACCTTGTACGGTGACAAACCTAGTTAGGATCAAGTCAGAGTTTAGTGCCAATGCTCTTACTAGAAAGTCTAATCACCCTTCACGTCACACTCTGGTCTATTCCCTGGAGCCCAGGGGTCATTCGGTTATGGTAATAACAGGCAGCTTACCAAGCTCTGCTTCCAGAGTGTCCGTGATGGGATCCAGAATGTCTGGTTTCAGGTTGGTGTCCTCAACTGGAAGAGGAAAACAAAAATCATCCTTTGCATTAAGAAGGGAGGACTGTTTGCTGGAGGTTTGGGGGTATTAGCTCAACACCGATTGAAGTTTTTAGTGCTCTGTTCTTTCGTTTGTTCATTTTACCCAGCATGCATGAATCTGGGAGTTGAGACTCTGACTCAGAAAGATGCTCTTCGGGGCTGGAGTGATAGCTATGCCAGTACAGGGCTGGCAACACAGCCCAGGGATCTGAGTTTGATCCATGGAACCCACAAAATAAACCCAAAATGGGCATGGTGCACATGCTTGAAATTCTAGGGTGAGGAGATAGAGCCAGACCCATAGCTGGGTCTCGCTGGCTGGCCAGCCTGGCCCACATGGCAAGTTACAGGGTAGTGTGAAACTCTGTGCCAACAAAAATGATGTATTATACCTGAGACATAAAAACCCAAGTTTGTACTCTGGCCTATACACACACACACACACACACACACACACACACACACACACACACACACACACACACATGCATACGTATGCACACACACCCAACTGCCCACACCCACACTTGAGACTTAGGCCTCCATCTGGGTCAGCTACAAGAAGACTTCTTGCTGCCATTTGGCTGAGTCATCAGCCAAGAGGGACAACCTGCCCAAGGAACTGAGCTTCAAAACTCTCCAGCCCGCAACCTTAAACTCATGGTTTAGCTTAGAATGAAAGGGCATCTAACCTCTGGTTTTCCTTTGCCTTTTTCTTTCCTGCCACAGAGTTTCAAAGGTGTCTCCATTGTTCTGCTTTCTTCTGAAGCTATTCTACCACCAGTAAAAGTGGTGGTCTCTGTGGGCAGCGTCTTCAATTCTCACTTCTCAATGGCTTCCTCATCTGCCCCATCTCTCTTCGCCATCAGTCCCCACACTCCTCACCCCATCTTCCTCCTGACAGTCTTGACTTCCAAAGGCATTTTGCTAGCACACCATGAACTTCTCCCTCCTGCTGACACGCATGCGTGTTTCATGGAGTTCTCACTCTGCTCTCTTTCCACATGGGGTTGGAAATACCCCAGGACTCAATCCCAGGCCCCCTTTTCACACTTGACCATGCTCACACTCCCATTTCCAGCCCCAGCATCTCCATCATTCACCGAAGTACCCCCCTCTTCACTGCCACGTTATAACTGAGGTCCTTCCACATTACCATCTCCTCCTTAGACTTCCTCCTTCTCTGTCCTTCATGCTTATTAAACAAGGCTAGTATTAACTGACTTACCCTCTCAGAAAACTAGAATCTCTGTTTTCTCTTCATTTGTTTTATAAAACACATCCCGTTCTGTTGACTCATAAACTCCACCTCCCACCTCCTGAGGTATCTTTTGATACTGTCCATCAAGCTTGCTGATTCCCCCTACCTCCACCTTGCCCAATATCAATAGAAGACAACACAACCCTAAATCTCATCTGCTGTAGGATGTTCTGTATGCTGTGAATATGTGTTGCTCTGATTGGTTGATAAATAAAAAGCTGATGGGCCAGTAGCCAGGCAGGAAGTATAGGCAGGGTAAACAGACAAGGTGAATTCTGGGAACAAGAAGGCTGAGTCAGGAGATGCCAGCCTGCCGTCCAGGGAGCAGCGTGTAATGGCACACAGGTGAAGCCAGGGAACACGTGGCAACATATAGATGAACAGAAATGGGCTGAGTTTAAATGTAAGTGCTGGTGAGTAGTAGGCCTGAGCCAATGGCTGAGCAGTTTTAATTAATATAGGTCTCTGTGTGTTTACTTGGGTCTGAGCAGCTGTGGACCGGGTGGGACACATGAAAACTCCAGCTATACTCATCTTTGGCTTTTCCTATTCCCAGGCTCTGAATTCCCACAGAAGCATCGCCTATGTATTTCTAGACACACCCCTTTCAGTTCATGTCCTGTGTTGCTTCCCTACTGGCAATTGCCTGAATTTACAATGTCTCTCCTGCCTCCATACTTACTCTCAAAAATATTATTTCTTCATGTTAGACCTACCCTGGATACAAGTCCATTCATAATGTATTACAGTACTTGAGTGGTCCCCTATTGTCCCTTGGATAAAATTCCAAACTCTAAACTTGTCAGAAGTGGTAATGCATGCCTATGATCCCAACACTAAGGAGGCTGAGGCAAAAGATAAGAAGTTTGAGGCCAGCTTAGGCTATATGTGAATTACAGGCTAGCCTGATATACACAAGGAGACCTTGTCTCAAAAAAGGAAACAAATGAACAACAACCAAAAAAATTTTCTGCATAATGAAGAATGAAATAAAAACTTGAAACTAGCTTAGAGTATGAAGTGGGTCCTGCTCTCAGAGCCCCCTCCCACTCCCTACCTCCGCCCACTCCTGTTCTCTGATTTTCTCTCCCTGATCTGTATCCTGTTTTCTCATGATTCCTGATGTCAATGGTGCTTTCACCTCTGCCAGAATGAACGGCACCACCCACCCTTCTCTTCTCAGTGGAGTGAATGCCATTGTTCACCCTTTCCCCACAGGTCTTGCTTGGATTTGCTTCACCTTAGACACAACCACTGCCTTTTCTTCTCCTTCTACACTGGGTGGTGACGACCTGCTTTCTGTCTCTGTGACCCATAAAATAGTTCTTAGAGGTCAGAGAAAGTGTCTGGGCACTAATTCTTAATCCAAAGTTACCACAGAAGCTTGGTATCTCTTCTATAGGAATGTGGGGAGGGACCATGAAATGAGGAGAAGGTACAATGACAGACGAGACAGGAATGACAGGCATGGGTGAGACAGACCTTCAAGTGAAAGAGGAAAGTAAATTCCATCACTGAGAATTTAGGGGCTGGTGCATGACTAAGTAAAAGAATATTTACACATCACTTGCCCTTGCTGGAGAAAGTGATGCTGGCATATTCTGAAACTGGAACTTCTCTCTTAATGAGCACTCTCTTATGCAATTAAGCCATGGGAAGAACAAGGACTAGGAAATAAGCAGAAGTGTCTCTATCTTAATGCACTCTGACTGTACTGCATCTTGCAGCAAGAAAGCCAGAAGTAAACCTCATGAATGTTTTCACTGAGAACTGAGTCAACTACTCTGCTGCTCTTAGGCACAAGCATGAATGACTAATTCTGTTATGTTTTAAACCCAGAAGCCTAGGCTGAGTTACTTACAACTACCATTTAGTTGTGCCGTTTTTTGTAGATCTGGTAAAAAAAAAAAAATGACCCAATGGAAGAGCTGTAGAAGTCTCAATCCAAAAGGGTAACAAATGCAGGATGAGGAGACATTTTACTTCCGTGTTAGTCAGGGAAGAATAAATTAGGAACAAACACTACCTGATACCAGTCAAAATGTTCCATACCCCCACCCAATATTATTTGGAATATTGAAGTTTTTCATCATTAATAAGGAGTACAAACTGGCAAACTTTAACTTAGTATAATAGTGTGTATTTAAGATGTAAAAGGCGATATTGTATTTATCAATGGATGCATACATGTGTGGGAAAAGCACCAAAGAAGGAATGCAAGGCAGCTAGATCAGTGGTTCTCAACCTGTGGGTCTCTACTATTTTGGGGTCAAATGACCCTTTCACAGGTCACTTAAGACCATCTGAAAACACTGATATTTACATTATGATTCCTAACAGAAATTACACTTATGAAGTATCAATGAAATGATTTTGTAGCTGGGGGTCACCACAACATGAGGAACTGTATTAGAGGGTCGCACACGAGGAAGGTTGAGAATCACTGGGCTAGTCTATAATCTATGGATACCTCAGGGGAAGGGAATGGGACACAGTCTCAAGCTGCACCAGCAATGTTCCTTTTCTTTTATAAAAGAACAATATTTTAAACATGTGGAAAAAAACATTAACACATTTTAAACAGGCCCACATATGTCTCTTCATGTTTCAAGTATGAACTATCTAATGCATATTTAAATTATGAACTATCTAATGCATATTTAAATTTATTTCAAGAATAAACCAGAGAGAAAGGAATAGATACCCCAGCTTGTAACAGTATGAACATGACCCAGAATTGAGCCCTTTTGTGGGACTTGACCCACAAAAGGAAGCACCGGAGTATTCCAACATGCAACCCTTTAAAGGTTGCCAGCAGGTGAATATCTCTTTTCTTCCCTAAAGGGAGATAACTACTTAACCAAAGGAAGATGATTTTCACTGGTCAGCCAGGGTTCAGAAAAAGCCTCACTTACCAATGGTTCTCACTTGAACCACAGCTCGGACTGTCCAAGAACTCACATTGTCCGACTGAGTGTAATCACATACATACAAGCCCTGGTGATAATCATAGACGGCACCCAAATTAATGATATTGTTCTTATATTCAGGCAGGAGTCTTCCATCCTAATCCAAAAGACAAGAATTAATCACCTTTCTGCAACCTCAGAGTTTTTATTAATATTCATTTCACACATAAGAAAAGCTTCACAGATTTGAAGCAGGTGAAGATAGGTCAGTTTGAAAACCAGGTATCCCGTAGGATGAGGATGCTATAATCCATACTGTAGTATAAGAGTCTGAGGTCACACAAGAAGCATTTCCTAACATTGTAAAGAAAACTGCCTCCAATCAGCTCATAAAGAGCTAGTGACTGAGTGTTTCCTAGAGCATAACTCAGGGCCCAAGAGTATTCCAGTTTTCTCAGGAATGATGCCTTACTTAATCATGACTAAGTTATATGCACACATGCTTGAGAATGGCAATGTGTGTGCACGCGCATGCATGTGTACACTTGGGGAAACTTGTAGGTTTTCAGTAAAAGAAATATATCAACTATTCTCCTTCAGTAAATTTAATTTGAATAGAAGAGCCAAGCATGGTGGCACACATCTTTGATCCCAGCACTCAGGAGGCAGAGGCAGATGGATCTCTGAGTTCAAGGCCAGTCTGGTCTACAGAGGGAGTTCCAGGGCAGCCAGGGCTACAAAGAGAAACCCTGTCTTCAAAATCAAAAATAAACAAAGATTTATTTTGAATATAAGAATAAATTATAAATAAAATATACTAAATAAATAAACTGGACTACATAATAATTACAGAGAACCAATACAGAGATCTTTATTTGACTCTGAACTCAAACAAGAAGCTGTCTCTCAGAATCCTTCAGTGGCTGCATTTGGCCTCTCAGATGATGTCTGTGGTTCCTCAAAAACTGATCTGGTCTCATTCTCCGCTATGACCCCCTTCACACACCTGTCTTTCCCTGAGGAGTCCTGCTCTACCGGATCCCTGGATTTGCAAATCCCCCACCGCTTTCCCAGAGCACAGGCTTCAGCTCCAGCCACAGCTCCAACAGGACTCAGCTTTTGGGAACAAAATCATCACTTGCTCCCGGGAGAATTGCCACTTCACATATCCAGGATCTTGGCGGCAAACAGCCATTGAGGGCACTACCATTTTACAGTTAAGTATGTGATGATGGGCCATATCTTTGTCTATAGTGGTTGGATGCTGCCATTGCTTCTAGGCAGCTAATAAATCCTGGGTCCATGGAAAGGAATAAACACGAGTCCCTTCTCTCAGCAGACTCCATGCCTCCAAGCCCTGAGTCTGCCTTTTCTATCACACCATCCAGAGTGCTCAGGGAACACTTGTCAGCGTTTCTCAGCTTACATAAAACAGGGCTGCTTCCTGGAGTCTCTGCAGAGTTATGAAGAATACAGAGGGAGCAGTTCAGGGGAAGGGCCACTTTAGGACGACATAAAGTGTCAAGTGAAGTGGGGGTGTGGGAGATGAGGCCAAGGTGGACTCTGAATGCATCCGATCTTTGTTTCTCTAGTAAACAGCTCTGCTAAGGATGTGCGCATTGAGGAGCACACAATTCTAGAAAGGTTTTCAAACAGGAGAATCGTGTAATAGGACATTTTGAGAAGAGTGACTAGCAGCTGGCTATGGAGCTCCTGGAGCCTGAAGCATAGACTGCTTCATACCACCTTCATATCACAAGGGGTTAGGACACAGCGGGAGCTCAGTCAATGTCTGTGGAAGGATTGGTCATCACCGCCCTAACTCCTGTAGCCTACCTCACAGATGATGTTTCAGTGGTACATGACCTTCCAGTTTCCCATGAGTACCAAGAACAGATCTCTTACAGTTATAATCAAAAGAAAAGAGAATAGTAGAAATGATAAAATGGCGAGAATCTGTTCTCTACAGAGATTGCAGAGTTCTCTCTTAGGGATGATCCTATATGGTGATGGTTAGATCACAAACCTTCCAGATACCACTGCCTCACACATCAGCCCACCTACAGTGACCTTCAATATTTCTCATCTCTCAGCTCTCCCAAAAGGGCCGAACATCCCTGCTGCCTCCTGGTGGAGGGCATACCACCTCCCTCAGAAATCTTTAGGAGTGGACACCTCACTTTGCCTTTGGAGACTGGTGGCTCTTTCTTCAGAAGCTTGAGCGTGGTCTGTGGCGTCGCCCCCTTAGTAAAGTGCTCACCCAAAGAACAATTTGTCTCAGTGTGACTCTCTCTCGACCCACCTCTCCTCTTCTCCATGTAACCCATCACTTGTCCAAAGGACTTGGGATTTGTGTGGATTATGTTTCTTTCATTTTACAAATGAGAAGACAAATACTTTAGAGTTTAATGAAAGCCAGCATGAGGATGCCTAGTAAATGAGAGCACTGAATAGAAAACATAATTTTTCTGACTAAAAGTTTCATTTACTGATTGAGGAATTTCCCTTCCATTGGCCTTCACACAGGTAGAAGCAGGAATCCCCCCCCCCCACTCCAAGCACACACATCTGCAAGTGTCTGGCCCAGTTCCTGTGGCCCAACATTAGAACTTCCCCTAAGGTGTCAAAGACCCCGAGTAGGCCACACTGGTCATTAGGAGTAGCTTCAAGACAGGATGAAGAGCCAGGGCAAGAGGCAGAGACAGACAGCTTAAATATTTATCAGATGGTGGCAAAGATCAAGAACACTCAAGCCAGAAGCTAAGAGCAAGAAAGGAAGTCCAGAGATAAATCTTCAGAGAACCTATTAAGAGCACACAAAGAACAGAACGTAGAGTGTGGGCATACAGGAAATCTGTTGAGAAACTGATGGAGGGAGGCCACAGCACACCATCACTAAGACTTTAGTCAAGCCACTGAGGAGGGTGGAGGGTAACCGAGTAGACCTCTTCCTCATTTTGCAGATGGTGAGCATGGCTTAGTGTGTGTGTCGTTAAAGGGCTTTGTAAAATAGAACTCAAAAGAAATGTCAAAGGAAAAGAAACTGAGAAGAAGAAGAAGCATATGCAGAGAAATAGGAAACTCATCAGATGATTCAATCACATGCAGGTCTGGCAGGAGAGAGAGGCAGAGGCCTCCACCCAGAGTGCTGTGTTATGCTCAGAGGTGAAATATGAGAAAACAAAAATACAGAGGAGAAACATCCATAGTGTGATCTGTGTGAAGAGTCGGGAGTCCCGGAAAGAACAAGTAAGAAGCCTGAAGATACTAAAACAGATGGGTAGGGGTACCTGTAAGGGGAAGAGCAAAGTCATTCCTAGTAAGAGGGCAATCGTTGAGCTTTTTTAATGTACTATCCTGAAGTTTTACTGGCAGATAGCTTAGCACTAGGGAGCACTCCAAAGCTGTAGGTGCTCCAGGAACGGTGCTCTGTCAAGTCAGGCAACACCAGCGTGCTGACCTGAGCTTCCTCCACCCATTTTCCTTGATGAACTCCAAATGGTTTCTCACTGTTAACTCATAACCACGTCTGGATCTGAGCATATCATTATCTTTGCTATCTATGATTAAGTCTGTTTTTACTTTCTACAAGTTGACAAATACCCTGAATACATTTTAAGCCAGAAAAATCTAAAATATTATGGTTGTCTCTTTAACCGGTCCCTTATCAAAGCATTCGATTATTCCTCTTCTTCCGTGAAAATGTCCCCTACCTTCATTCTATTTCCATGGCTGCTTCTGTGGTTCAGAATGCATACAAGGAAAGTTCAAACATGTCAGTAGGGCCCCAGTCCCCATACCTCATGAGCAACCCACGTTTTTTATTTGCAATCCAGTAGAGTTTATACTGTGCAAGAACTCTGCTTCTCTTGCATTGAGTAATCTGTTAATCTTTCACTGATTAGACTTCTTGCTGTTCTAGTTCTGTTAGATAGAAAATGTTAATCTTTCTTAGTAAGTACCATCGTACAATCTCTTGCACCAATCACCCGACAATGCTAAACTTATTCTTCAATCATGTGGTGACATTTCCTTTAGTATAGGCTAGGAAATTAGTAAACCAGAAAATTTTAATGACGGGTCCGATGACAACCCCTAGCCAAAGTACTGAGTAAATTATTAGACAGATGGTTAATGAGCAGTTGGAAAGGAGGTAGTGGTTACTATCAGCCAGCTTGTACTCACTAACTACCACCACACGAAACGCATCTCATTTTCCTGTATAATTGAAAATGTAGAGTAGAGGCTCAAGGGACTACAGCAGACAAGTTCTATCTTGACTCTAGAGTGTGATTTGGAAAATACTTTCGTGATTTCCCTGTTAAACACAAAGATCCTTATGAGCTGAATGATAGGCCATGTGGGTGCCTTTTCAGATAATTGAACAGCAATACCCCCAAGTGACGGCAATGTGCAGCTAGAAGGGTCCCTCCAGAACCTACAGCTGAAAACTCTATAGTACAAGCTTGCTCTGCAGTTTTACACTGCCTTAGGAATCACACCCCCTCCATACACACACACTACACACTACACACACACTTTTTTTTTTTTACCTTGTGGATTTTGCTTCCATATTACAGTTTAGGATTTTGTGTCCTTAAGAGATTTCTGTGTGTGCCAGTGTATGTGTGTCTGCATTTATATGTGTTTCTTGTGCTTTTTTCTTTGGCTCTTTTTTTTCCCTGTATGTTTGTTTGTTTGCTGTTTTGTCTTACTTTGTTTTGCTGGTGCTGGGGAGGCTGTGAATGCATTGCTCTGATTGATTGATAAATAAAATGCTGATTGGCCAGTAGCCAGGCAGGAAGCATAGGATAGGTGGGACAAGCAGAAAAGAGAATTCTGGGAAGTGGAAGGCTGAAGGAGGAGATGCCAGCCTGCCGTCCAGGGAGCAGCATGTAAAGGCAGCAGGTAAAGCCACGGAGCATGTGGTGACATAAAGATTAACAGAAATGGGCTAAGTATAAGTGCAAGAGCTAGTCAGTGGTAGGCCTGAGCTAATGGCCAAGCAGTTTAATTAATATAAGATTCTGGGTGATTATTTTATAAGTGGTTGTGGGGTCCGTGGGGCTGGACAAGATGGGAGAAAACTCCAGCTACATGCTGGTTTGGTTTTGTATTTGTCAGGTTGTTTTCTAATGAGAAAGAAAAAAGAAAGGGTGTGTATGTGGGTGGGTGGTGAGGTGGGGAAAACCTAGGAGGAGTTGGGTGTGGGGAAACCATAATCAGAATACATTGTATGTAAAAAAAATTCTAATAAAAATGTAATTATTAAAAAAAGAATCACATGTCCATGTTTATGTTATCTATAAGCTTCAAAACTCCGAGAATGATGGCTAATACACTGGGTTACAAAATTATAAAATCAAAATTCCAGTTTCTTAACACACAGAATGGCGAGCTAAAACTACTGTATTAGAATCTAACAGGAGTGAATGTGCAGTGAGGAACATGAGTTACAAACTCTAATCCTAGGCACACAACTGAGAATGCTCCTCAGATTGCCTGGCTGTAGTTCTTATGAAAAAAAGCTAACTTGCCACTATAGAGTGATTGACACACACAGTAGAGTTATCGCAAAGCTGAAGGAATTGCTAGCAGCATCAATATTCTGTTCAGAAGAAGGAATGGGTCCCACCTCTTTCAGCATCCTACTGCACAGCAAGTGGCCAGCTATATTTAAAGCTGCCCAGGAATGTGGGGAAATGTTTGCAGTGAGAGAGACTGAATGAGCCAGTAGATCAACCTTGAGAACAGCTTCCAAAATTATAATTGAAGTTATCCTTTATTGTCACTATTTAGAAACACTTTAACCTATGAGTCAGGCCAGTCTCAGCCTGCTCACCAGCTCTCCAGGGTAGGCAGCTCACACAGTGCCTAGAGATTCCAGTCCCTGTGAGAGCTAAACCAAACGGAAATGAGAAGAGGAAGTGGCAACTCTTCCATGAAACACAGGAGTGAGTGAGAATCTATCCCACACCCATGTACGTCAGCACTGCAGTCAACCAAGCTGGCCCTGGTAAGGATGACTTAAGACACCAATAGAGATTTTAGCTTCATGCTCCGGTCCTACTAACCAGAGGTCACAACAGTCCCAAAGCCATCCTGATGTTCAAGGCCATTTCTAAAGAAACTCTCCCACTGTCCTTAATGTAATTCTTCATTGTGTCAAAGAATTGCTTAGCCTAAGATCATCAAAACATGCTAACATTTTTTTTTTTTTTTTTTTTTTTTTTTTTTTTTTTTTTTTTTTTTTTTTTTTTTTTTTTTTTTTTTTTTTTTTTTTTTTGGTTTTTCGAGACAGGGTTTCTCTGTGTAGCTTTGCGCCTTTCCTGGGACTCACTTGGTAGTCCAGGCTGGCCTCGAACTCACAGAGATCCGCCTGCCTCTGCCTCCCGAGTGCTGGGATTAAAGGCGTGCGCCACCACCGCCCGGCTAACATGCTAACATTTTAAATTCAAATGCCTATCATTTAAGGAGTCAGTTTTGTTAAGGACATTTTTCTTTTCATTGTATTTCTGGGAATTAGACAAAAATGAAGAGAAAATAACAGGTACTTTATTTTAATTCTGAATTTTCGATCGTTAAATCATTAAGAACATGCAAGTACAGTGTGCTCAACCAGACCCCGGTGCTTTCCTGAAACCTGCTCCAAGCAGGGAAGCAAAGAACTGGTGAGCAGAAGCCCTGATTAACCCTGGCAATGGAGCAATCATCAATCTAACCCTCACTATTTTAGTTAACCTTGGCCCAGGGACATGGCCAAGTATACACTTGTCTGTGGAGCACAGCCTCTGCCTTTACTCACCTTGAGTAGCTGAGCTGCAATCCAAAGATATCACTAAACCCTGAAGCCTGTCACAGAGTCCCACTCTACACAGATTCCAAACAACAGCACTTTCCAGCCAGGAAGGATAGTCCAACTGATCGCAGACATCCAGAACAACTAGCTTGTCTGACTGCAGATTCCAGCCAATTAGCTCAACAGACTATGGAGTAAGTTAGCAGTTCCCTTCAACCTGAGAGGACAGGTGTTGTCTCAACCTTTCCTGAGAATCCAACTTAAGGCCAGGGTCTCTGAAGTTGTTACTCTAGCCCCATCCAGAATCCCAGGCTAGACTATATCTGGAAGATCTGTCACCAACCAAGAGCACTTATAAAGGACAGAACAGTGTCATTTCCTCAAGTGTGCAGTCCGCAATGCAAAGGCATTGAAAAATTATGAAAAACCAGGGCATATAATACTATAAAGGAAGTGAATAAAATTCCAACAACAGACTTTGAAACACAGAGATCTATTTGTGTAAAGGATAGGGGAAAAAACAAACAAACAAACAAACAAACCTCATAGCAGCTTTAAGTTTGAAGAACTGCAAGAAAATACAGATGGGAAAAACAGAACTTGAAAGCCATTCCTAACAATATTAGAAGTTGTGCCGGGCGGTGGTGGCGCACGCCTTTAATCCCAGCACTCGGGAGGCAGAGGCAGGTGGATCTCTGTGAGTTCCAGGCTAGCCTGGTCTACAAAGTGAGTTCCAGGAAAGGCGCAAAGCTACACAGAGAAACCCTGTCTCTGAAAAAAACAAAACAAAACAAAAAACAATATTAGAAGTTGGAAAAATAAATTAAATGATTCTTAAATAAAAATTAATAAAGAATATAGTCACAAGCAAAAATTCTTGAAGATGTTTAACAGTGGACTTGATCAGCAAAGGTGAGAACTGGGGATCTTGAGATCTCGAGAGCAGAACATCTGAAATCACCCAGCAGAAGAGCAAGGAGAGAGGAGAGTCAGCAATAATGAAAAGGCCTATGGGAGTTATGGAGTCCCATGAGGAGAACTAAGCTTTGCTCAATAGAAGTTTCAAAAGTACCAAAGAGCACATCCAGAGAAGTAAAGGTAATACTTTCCCAAATGAAGAGAAGGACAACACTCTTCTAATCAAATTCAATCCATGGAGAAATTTCTTTAGATATATCATAAATTGCCCAAAGTGAAACATAAGGAAAAATTACTAAAAGCGGCAAGAGTTGATACATATCAGATTAGAGGGTGAATTCTGAGCAGAATTCTGAGCAGAAATCCTGCAAGTCAGGAAGGAGGGACATAATGTATTCAGAAGTTACTATGTGCTGTAGTTTGAATGAAAATGGATCCACCGGCTCACATATTTAAATGCTTGACCCCTAGTTGGTGGAACTGTTTGGGAAGGATTAGGAGGTGTGGCCTTATTGGAGGAGGTGTGTCACAGATAGGGGCTCTGTTGGGTGAGCATTCATGTGTGGGCAAGCACTTGGAAAAACTATAGCACAGTGAAAACATGGAATGTTTTTGTTACATTTGCTGACCAGTTTACTCAACAGCTTTATAAACTTTCTCTTATGCCCTTTCTTTTAGCACTCACTCCCACAAACTCTACACAAGTGACTTGTCATGTGGTAACCTGGAGACATGCTGTGTTTCCTCACCATTCTCCCGTTTAGAAACTCCACACCTCTGTTTCTTTTAACACTTCTTCAAGACTTGCTTGTAGGGAGCTGCCTTCCTCTTCCTTAGCAATGCCCTTTACTCTCTATGACAATATAAATTAATTAACCTGTCCAGAATTCACAGATGCCTGTTCACACCTTCCCACAAGTGTGGCATCCTTGCATGTTGGACTTTTCCCCTGATATTGATCAAAAGGGTAGCTCTATCAGTCTGAATATCAAGCTGGACTCTACATAGGGTCAAAACTACTTTAGAATGCAGGTCTTTTGCAGAGGCACAGACCAGCCTTTCTAGAGCTCTGGGCCTCAGGCTCTCTGCCTCATGTTTCTATAAGGAGCCTATAATGACAGTGCTCTTACACTAGTTTTAGAAAATCCATTCATACCTGGTACCAGGTCATCTCTGGACTCTGTACACCACTTTGGCAGCTGAGACTGGGACAATAAATGGAGCCGGTGCTACCAAGAAATAGGTTTTGCTCATCCTCTACTGGTTTCCCACAGGATGTGTTTCTCTGAGGCTTAAGTTCTAAGATAGTCTTGACACAGCAAGCCATATCCCATAAGCCAGGACTCCTAGGAGATAGAGAAGGTTCTGTGAGCACTTGTCTAGGTAACAGAGAATTTGAGAATGTTTTCAGACTGGGATGCCTTTGGCACATACCTAATCCTGGGTCTACAGATATATGACCGAACATTGTTCATCTGTGAGGCCAACATATGCAACATGCCTTTGTTCTGCACATGAGAAGAGTTCCTACGGATCTCCTGTAATGGACCTCCACTCTGAGGTTGCATGTACCACTGGACATCGGATGGGCCCTGATTGCCACTGCAAGGTATGTGGGCAGGGCCTTGTGTTGGTGACTGTTGACTTATATTGGAGAATTGTGACTTCCGAAGCTCTGGTAAATCACAAAACAGGACAAAATCCTCTGCACCCTCCACAGAATACGTCCACACAACTCTTTTGGTGGCACAAGCTGAAAATTATAGTAAACAAAACAACACAAAGAAACATGTTAGAAGGTGGAATTCTCACTAATGTTTACAAATAAACTCAGTATAACAAAGGATTCAGCTCTCCATTCTATCTTGTGAACTATGTCCATTTCACAGATGAAAATGACTCATGTTCCGATTCTCTCCCGATGGGCTTGTGTCTTAACTCCTCAGATGTCCCCACTGAATGCCCAACTGTGGTCACTGGGATCCCCCAACTGTATGTGGTATCTGCTGAAAGCAGTCCCGACCACAAACTCTCCTCCTACTCCTTTTAACAGCGAGAAGATGCTGTGTACTAATAGGTCAGGCTGCTGATGTACCAGATTATCTGTCACTTTAGACTCTGACCACAAGGCTCACAGTGTTAATATGCAAAGCAAAACCCCCTACCTGAAGGATCAAATCCTGCAGTCCGCTCTCCTGCAACAAAGCAAAGAAGCACCCAGCCCAAACAGAGCATGATTCTTCTTCTTCGCTCCTGTCATGGCTTCAGTGACTTCTCATTGCCAGCGTGGAGTGTGTGGAGACTCAAAGTTCTTTCTCTGGCATCCTCTTCACTTTTGAAATAGGAAATGGAGAAATCAAAACCCATGACCAAGCCTCAAGACACACAGGAAACTCTGAAAGGGCACATCCCACCCAAACAGGCCTTCAGAAGCCCAAAGTATGCCTGGGTATTTTTAGGGGCATGAAGCAGCTTCCTCCATGTGTCATCTCTTGTGCCTTCAAAGGATGAACTCCTCACATGCAGGGTTCCCTGAGGCCCTCACATGAGCCCTGGAGTATCTTCTAATACCATGTCTCTTCATAGAATTCTTCTTCTTTCTTTTTTATTATAATGCTCCCATCCACCCATCTACGGTGTATATTTTTATCAGTAATTTGGAAAAATAATGTTTTTTCCAGAAAAGATGGCCTGGTTTGTATGAAAATGACAGGTTCACCACAGTTAAGGAAGCTGGCGATTGACTTGCTACCTATAAAATCTGAGAGTATATACGTGGTACTAAACACTAGTTAGAAACAAAAACTATTCAATAAATAAAGGTAGAAACTTGTGACTTGAAGATGGCACTATTGATCCTCTCAGATATAAAAGTAGAGAGCATGTGTCCATAAAATTGAAAATCAGACCTGGGCTGGGTTCATAATGTTTGCCTCCTCGGTAGAGGGAGTGACCTTGAGAACCTTCAAATAACTTCTAAACAATGAGAGCTAGGGACTTGGAAAATGTAAATTTGTCAAGTGTTCAATTTTGAGCAGAAAATTAAGATGTTTCATTATAGGGCAGTATTGTCTATGCTGACATTGAAAATGAACAAAATTTAGAGGATAGACTATATTCAAATGTCAAATATGCCCAGCAATTGAGGTGATTAGATATTTGGTGTGACTACTAAGAGATGGGCACCCAGAGTAAGAGGGTAAAAAATAAAATCTCAGGATGAAAAGACAGTAGGGACCTCAGGGATAAAACAATAGGCAAGAACCTGCTACATGTGGTATGGAGAATGAGAACAGTCAGGGGAGCAAATATGAGCCCTTCCATTCAAACAGAAGGTCAGATTGGGAGGATTATGGGAAAGCACAGAGAGGATGATGGGACAGTTGGAGAGCCAGAAACAGAATGATAAAGAAAGGGAGGGGTAGTATACATCAGTGTCAGTAGCTGTAGCTCACCAGTCGGAGGGAAGGCAACATCAGCCTCATCCAAAGGCTAAGCCAGGAAGCCCTGGGTGAAGACAGTACAGCTCACAGTTTTTGCAAAGACTCCAATTTACTTGGGAGTTTTGGTGAGATGGTGACACCTCCTGAGGAGGAGGTCCTTAGTGGAAAGGAGGCCCATGGTGTTGTGTTGTTATTCCACATTCTATCTAGCTGTAGCTAGATAGATCTTAAAAAGAGAACTTACTGTTAAAGGTTGAGCTACCCACAGAACATGACCACAGGGAAGAATCACGAGTCATGGAACCTGGAATCAATTTGCCACTTTCTCTGGATGGAAGATACCTGTGCAAGGCAGTTGTAGAGAGAATGAGGAATGCATACAGACTTGCTGAGAAGTGTAGGGGATTGGAGGCTGGCCTCAAGCAGCAAAAGGGATGGGAACATCCAGGGGATCTCACTTTCTCTTCCTGGAAGTTGATCTTATCTCCTCAAAGTTAATTGTATAGTCTGATAGCCCCAAGCTTGAAGTTAGTCATTGGAGCCAGTTATCTGCTACAAGGTTCATTGTTGGCAGGTCTCTGAGACTCCAGGAACAGATATGACTTCCACAGTCTTGTCTCTTTAGCAAGGCATGTAATGATGAGTGGGTTTGAAAAGCACAGAGCCTGGTATCATGTACAGAAGTCAATTTTTGTTTGTTTCTCTTACCTTCACTGTACTTGAGGGTATGGAAGAAACTGCCCAGCACATGGACTGTAGGAATGTATCGTCTCAGACTTCTGCTACCCCAAACAGAGAAGTTTCCAAATGGAAGACAACTCTGGTGGATGCTGGACATTTGAATAGTTCAAATTCAGCACTATCTTAAATGGTAGGAAACACAGGAAGTCCAAATTCATCTGAGCCTCTTTTTCCTTTTCTCTAGACTCTGATTTCAGAAGCTGCTCCAACATGTCATCATTTTTTATGCCACTCATGATCCATTTTTTCTTTTTATTAAACTTTTGGTAGTATGTTAACTCTATTTCTTAAAGAGTTTTAATATTTCTATCCTCCTCATAATTACCTAAACCTATTCATACGTTATTCCTTTACTGTGTGATCAAATTAATTTTTTACTCACTTTTATTTCCCCCTCCTTTTTCATAATGTTCTCAGATCTTTTTCTTTAACTTCATATAACTTTCTTCCCCTTTCTTCTCACTCTTGTCTTGCTGTCTTGCCTTACTTCTTTCATTTGCTATTTTTACTTTTATGTAAAAATTCTACATTAATATTGTGCCATTTTGTGTTCTATGGTTATTGCTGGTGTAGTAATTTGTTTTCATTGATTTTAAGTGTATGGCTACACTTTTCTCTGCTTTGTGGTTTGTTTGTTCCTCTTTGAATGGTCCTGGGGAGGCTTCACCTCAGGAGATCCTCAAATAAAACCAAAAGAGAGATCTAAACCAAAAAATTAACAAATTACAACAAAATAACAAATTACAGAGAAACTCAATAAACATGACTAGGAATTATTACACACCTGAGTAATGATAACACCTCAGTTACTAAACATAAGGCCAATGAAATGATTGACATGCTGGACAAATAATTCAATAGTCAGTGTGTAAAAATTATCAGTTACTTCAAAGAGGAAACAAACACTAAAATGAAGTAATAAATTCAGGATGCAGACAAGAAAGTGAACCTTTCAAAAAGAAAAAGTGGAGATAGGTAAGACATCTAGAAAAAAATCGAGGTTTTGGGAAAAAATACAGAAATGAAAAACTCAGTAAAATTTTGGTAGTAGAAATCATAGCCAGTAGACCAAATGAAGGAGAATATCAGAAGTGGAGGACAAGGAAATACAGCACTCAGGCATTATTGGAGTAGAAATATACATTGTACAACAAGATACAGAAAATATTCACTAAAATTGGAACAAAACAGTTGCTAATTACTGCAAAGTAAAGGACACATAAGTCCAAGACATATTTAGAACCCCAGGCAGACCAAAGAATAATGTATCCACAACACATTGGAGTCAAAATGGCAAAGTTCAAAAGAAAAAAATAATATTAAAAGCTGCAAAAGAAAAGTTACCAACTTGTTACTAAGGGAAATATACCAGAAAAATATTGCATCTCGGTATAAACCCTGAAGGAAAATATATGATGATGTATCACAAGCCGTTGAAGGGAGTGAATGACAATAGAAATAAGTGCTTTCAGTACATTTATCTTAAAATCAGGAAGAAATAAAACAAGCCAAGACAAGCACAATGGAAAGTAACTAGTGACTTCTAGACCATCATTTATGGGAGACACTTAGAGGGATCCTACACAATCAGAAGGAATGAGTCTTAATGATGAAAACACAAGAAAAAATAAATTTCATGAGAAGAACAAATAGACAAAAATTAGGAGCGGCTCAGCTGATAGCTCAGTGGTTAAGAGCACTGACTGCTCTTCCAGGGGACCCAGGTTCAATTCCCAGCATCCACATGGCAGCTCACAACTGTCTGTAACTCCAGTTCCAGGGAATCTGGCACCCTCACACAGCCATACATGCAGGCAAAACATCAATGCACATAAAATAAAAATAAATAAATCTAAAAAGGAGAGAGAGAGAGAGAGAGAGAGAGAGAGAGAGAGAGAAATGGCTCAGTCATTTCCAACTCAGTAAACCAACTAACTTCTAACACAAAGGAAGAGAAAAATAATTAAATCAACAGGAAAACAATCAACAATAGCTTAAGAGTCAACAAATCCTTTTCAATAATAACCTTAAGTGAAAATTGTTTTAATTTGCTGATTAAATCACTCAAACTGGATGAAAAGATTAAGAAGTAGAAGCCAATTTTTGTTATCTCAAAAAACACCCCTGTATGAGCTGGGTTTTTTTGTTTTTGTTGATTTTTTTTCTGTGATAAAACACCATAACCAAGGTAATATACAGAAGAGTTTAGTTGATCTTATGGCCCCAGAGGGTTAGAGTCCATGGTGGCAGAGTGAAACATGATGACAGGAACAGGAAGCTGGGGGCCCACATCTTGAACTATAAGCACAAAGCAGAGAACATAAACTGGGAACAGCACAAATCTTCAAACTCTCAACGACATACTTCCACCAACAAGACCACATCTCCTAAACCTACCCAAGCAGCACCATCAACTGAGGACCAAATAGTCAAATGTCTGAGTCAGCATCTCATGCAAACCACCTCACTGGCAAAGACCACACACAGACTGAAGGTGAGACAATAAAAGTCAATGTTTCAGGCCAATTAAAACCAAAAACGAATGGGAATAGTTACATCTGATGAAGTAGGCTCCATTGTCATAATGAGAAAATATAAAGAAAGTTAATGCACATTAATAAAGAAAATGATTCATCATGAAAATAAAATTACTATAGATGTGTAGAACATTTGGGGTACCAAATTTCATTTTAAAAACATTACTGGACATACAGAAACAGACTCAATAACAAGGACAGAGAATTATTTGAACATCCCATTTTCATCAATACTAGATCATCCAGACAAAAACATCAACAAACAAACCTTGGCATTAACCTGCACTATAGATCAAAAGGGCTTAATAGACATCTATAGATTATTCCATCTAAAAGCTCCAGAATATATAGTATTCTCAGCAGTTACAGTACCTACCACCATTGCTGTTGGCCACATAACAACACCAGAACAAACCCATTTTGAATGGTCTATTTACATTGAACAACACCACAAGCTCTTATCTCCCAATGTCTGCTTTGAAAAGACTCCCTAATATCTAAGTATTACTTTTCATTGTACCATCACCCAAACACTTCAAGGATTCAGAAGAAATCACTCAAGTGTAAAGTATCTTACTTGTTGAGCATTGGCCAACTTAAACCAAACAAGGCTGCAGATTCTGCTCCTGGAAGTAAAATGATTGACAGGTGGCACTGAATGTATCACTTATTTACATTTGCCATTCTGGAAAACACATGTGATGTATTTCTCCTTTCCCAATGGATGACCAAAGGTCTCATCGATCATAGCAATGGTGCCCATTATTAAATGAAGACCACATACCTGTGCAGTAGTAGAAGAGAAAGTCATATCTAGATGGAGAGGCTTTCAAAACTTCTCAATTCCATCACTATATGCCATCATCCACAGAAGGAGGCAGGAGGCCAATGGGATGCTTTGGAAATCTACAAGGTCTCTTTCCTAAAAATTTCCAGAAGAACTTTATAAAACAAAAAAACTGTCTTTTTCTCAGAGGCAGAAGATCTACCCTGAAGTCATTCAAAGATACACGTTCAACCATATTTTACAGTAATAGTGTACTAAGTCTTTCAAAGAACAAAGCTATTGCTAAGAGGAGAAAAGTGAAAATGCTGAATAAATCACCAGGAAAAGACACTCAATCCTGTTCACACCCTTACAACACAAATGAAAAAAAAAAGAGAGAGAGAGAGAGATGTGGACTAGTCAAATAGTTCCAGTATTCAAAGAATATTAGGTTGATGCTTACATGGTCCATGGTAGCTTGTTCAGTGCTTGCCTTCAAGGGTAGACAAGTGAGAGTGGACATTCAAATTTGGCAAGCATTTTGAATCCCTCTACTTGTAACCCTTCCAATAAAATGCATTGTAATTAATCATTCTTTTCAAGTGAAAATTCAAAAATATACCGAGATACAAATGTTGCACATTTGTTATTAAAAATATTCCATAAAACAGCAACTGTCTAGCAATTTATTTTTAAAGTCATTTTAAAAATTATTTGAGGTCAAGAAATCTAGCAAAAGAAGGTTCTATTGTCTTACCTTTATTTCCTGTTCTTATAAACATAAAAACAAGGAACTTCATGTCTTTATGTCAGTGACTGCCGGCTTGTGCATCTGAAGAAAAGTGTGAAAAACAGCCATTTTCAAAGAATTCTACTATATATTTTTTTTCTTAGCAAAAGAGAGAGTCGGAGAAGATGAAAGAATTATCCAACTCATACAGTCTGGAAATAATGAGCTAGACCTGGACAGAAAAAAAAGAAAACCTTTGTAGTTTGTAAAGGACTACTGGCATTGGAAAAAGCACGGTCATAAAAAAGGAAAATCAAGTAAACTACCTCTCTCTGTCCACAGAAGAAAAGCCCCTGAAATGAAACATTTAAAGCTGTTCTCTGGCCAGCCTCCTTGACAAGAAAAGAAAAGGCTTGTGGTTAGGTTTAGTTGAAATGGTGAGTAAGCCTGCTTCCTTTACGGGAATTTCCTGTACAGAATCTTAACTAACACTCAACACCGCTTCTCAACAGGGGAGTTCTCTCTCTCTCTCTCTCTCTCTCTCTCTCTCTCTCTCTCTCTCTCTCTTTTTCTCCTTCTTCTCCTTCTTATAAAATTAGGATCACATCATTGCCTTTACTTTCAAACCTAAAGGCTTTCTTCTAACTTTTTAAGTGTCCATCTCACCAATATCACTTATATGAAGTAACAATTCATTGATTAAAAAAAAGTGAAATAATCTTAAAATTGAAAGTCATTGGAGCTAATTTATGTACTTGTGCATTAAAAGGAAACCTTGGAATGCATAATTAAGAACTCCACTGTAATTAGAACAATGTGGAGCACCAAGAGACCACACTAGTCACAAGGAACACTATCTGTAACGCATCTTAATTAACCGCATTATCATTCTCCCTCAAGAGACTACTATCGCCATGAAGATAAAGCTGAAGCAGCCGAGCACAGCAAGGCACAAGGGTTATTTCTGTACGAGACTGGAGAAGAGCACTGAATATAAACAGAGACAAAGCTCATGTCAGAGTGAGAGCAAAGGGAGTGCTGACCTGCAGTGAGAGTGCAAGGCCTCAAGAGGAATCAGCAACTGAAAACAGGTCTAAGCCTCCAAAGACATGTGTCCTTGTTAGTCATGGACCTATCTAGAATTCCATGAGGATGTGAGATTTTCACGCAGCCTACTGCAGTGTGTAACAGTTTCAGCAGAAAAAAGACAGGAGGGCACATGAGCTCTAGGCTCACAGGGTTCTGCAGAGACAGTACCAGGAATAAAAACCTAGAAGGGCTTGAAAGAGGAATGGAGAGGATAAAGGGAAGAGGAAAAAATAGGACATTGTTCATGATGGGTGTTTAGTAAATGTTGAAGTACATTAGAGATACCCGGGGATCAGGGAGTGTCCTCATCAAATCTCAGAGACCCTGACATAGACCTTAAAGTTGAGTCTGAAGTTATTGTCCGAAGGGTCTTCTAAAGTGAATCTATCAACAGCTCTTTTCCCAAAGTTTAACATATCATTCATAAATTGCATTTGGAAGAGAAAAGCAGGAAATCACTGACAATAGGAGATTTGAGAAGAGATGAAGGGTTAGTCACTACAGGAAATTCAAATATGTTTAACACGTTGTACAATTGAAACACTGTGGTGCTATCTCATGGGTAGAAAAATGCCCATGGAACAGAAGAGATGGTGCAGAAACACGAACTATACATGGAAATTTAGTAAAAATAGAAAAGGGCATCACAAATTAGATGACCTTTGATAGCTATAGTGTGGGTAATGGGGCAGCATTATGGAAAACTAAGCAATGAATCTTTTCCTCACACTACACAACAGACTGTGTTCCAAATGGACTGGGATTTAAAGTGTGAAAAAGTTAATCTACACAACTATTAGAAGCATAGTTTAATTCTTTATGACCTGGGAATAAGTAAATACAAAAATAAAGTAAAAGGATAAATGATAAACTCTGGGAAATAATTGTAACTTACATTACAAAACCTTGACATCTCTAATGTGGTAAGATCTTCCAGCAGTGGAAATAAGATGAAACCTCTCCACAAAATGTTGGCAGAAGGCAAAGAACATGTTCCTTACATTGTTGTTGGGAATGGGAGATGGCACAGTCTCTGTGGGGAGAAATAAGGCAATATTGACCAAAATCACATATGTGTGTTTGCTGGCACAGCAATGCTGCATCTTGGACATGACTTCAAAAAATATTCAAGCAAAAAATGCAAAGAGGTGTTTGAATAATATTGTCTTCATAATGTCACACGTAAGAGCAAAATACTAGGAACCCTTAGGACTGGTTGAATAAACAATAACATAAGAATGTTTCAGGTACTTGCATGAAGTAGTGAAAACTAGTTTCATATATAATTATGGAGTAGTTACTAAAATAGTTTCAAGAATATTAAGTTGGAAAACTGGTTGTTATCATTACCATTTATCTGAAAAAGATAAAAGATATGAATATCCATACATATTTATTTATATTAAAATACAGAAATGTAAGTCAATGTCAATTTTTTAAATGTTTACTATCAGGTACAGCATAAACAGGTAATGGAGAGAGGAATAAAAAGTGGACTTTATTTTGCAGATTTTCTCTTAAAAGAATGCAAGTATTTTTTCATACAAAATAAAATTTTAAGAAACAATCCCTACAAATAAAAATATAAAGAATGAAACTAACACATTGAGTCAACAAAACACTATCTAAAGGTAATTTCAAATGACTTGAGAACACAATGCTTGACTTTATCTTTTAATGAAATATTCTCAAGGGGGAAAACATCTTTAAAAAAATCTCAAATTGCTTTTAGTTAAAAAAACTATTGTTGAATTATTAAGTTGAAGTATTGAAATTATTCTGAGGCTATTATATCTACTCTACATTAAAGGAAATTAATAATTATATTAAGATCATCAAGAACTGGAATCTTCTGCATGCAAATGATACAATATAAAATTGATGACTAAAACTTTCAGTCTTGAATGAAATTGTCCTTTCAGTGTTGATTCAAGATTCAAAAATTAATTTCTCTCTCTCTCTCTCTCTCTCTCTCTCTCTCTCTCTCTCTCTCTCTCTCTCTCGTGTGTCCTTGCTCTGTCTACTTTAGAAAAAATTTGGTGAACTAAGACTCACTAAATCTAAGGCTGGTTTAAATCTAAGGCTGGTTCCTGGACTCTGAATATGATTTTCCCCCTGGAAAGAGATACAGCTTCAGAGAGAGCTGTCTAAGAAAAAGGCTAGAACAACGTAAGCCCAGAGCATCTTCTGGTGTCAGTAAACTACAATAACAGAAAAAGGAAGTGATCGAAATACCAAAGGACACAGACATCAACTTGAAAATGGCCGAAGATGGACAATTTGAGTGTCAGCAGACTATTGTCAATTTGTAAAGTGTTGTGTGTTGACAAACACTCATTTCTTATGATGATGTTGTGATGTGCATGGTGATATCATAATATAAAAAGACAGAGCAAAAACAGCCCAGGATACACTGGGAGACAGGCTAAGCACAGGAAGTTATTTACATTTTGAATCTGGATTTTAGATATTTGGGTATTTGTTGCATGTTCCTCCTGCTATTTATATTTGAACTGTTTTGTAATCAGCCTTTAATAAATAAAGGTAAAAGCTAGGTTCCTTTTGTTGCTCTTCTCTAACCTAAGTATGGGTTTCATTTTTGCCATATTTTACTTTGCTAATTTCATGATTTGAATGAATTGCAGTAACCGTGAATACAAAGAGAAACACTTTAGAAACTGTAACAGGCTTTTTCCTTTTTGGGCTACCAAACAGCTCCCAAATCATGACATGGAGACTTCTTATTAGTTAGGAATGTTTGGCTTTATCGTATGTTTGTCCCAGCAGCTCTTACAAGTTAACTGGTTTCTCTTCATCTACATTTTGCCTCAAGGCTGTTCACCTTTCTTTCCGTCCATATACCTTGCTTCACTGCTTCTTGAATCCGGCTAGACAGCAGCTGCCTGGCTTCTCACCCTGGGCATGTCCCTTCCTTTCTCCCTTGTTCTCTCTTCTCCTCTCATCCTCTCCTATTTATTTTCTCCGCCCACCAGCCCCGCCTATCCCTCTCCTGCCTAGCTATTGGTCATCCAGCTTTTTATTAGACCAATCAGGTGCCTTAAGCAAGGAGGTTAAAAACAAATGCAGGACGTCTTTACATAACAAATGCAACACAAACAAGTGTAACACATCTTTACCTCGTGAACCAAGGCAACAGAAATAAATGGCACGCCCTCCCATCGTTAAAGTAATATTCCACAGCACAAACCAATGTAACACATCTTTGCCTAGTTAAAGTAATAGTCCACACCAAGAAACCATTTTAGAAAGTGGGTGATCTGCTTAGGCAGGTAGTTTGAATGAGACAGCCCCTACCCCAAAATACATTTTGTGTGTGTTTGTCAAAAACTCAGCTTAGGATGTCCACATGAAGGTGGCTGGAGCAGCAGCTGCCTTTACGAGCACGGAACTTCATGTGGTGATGTTGTGTCCCCAATATACTGTGCACCTTAAGAAACTTATCTGGGGTCAGAGAAGAGACCAGCCGCTAGATAGACACAGAGGCCAGAAAAATGGTGGCACACACACCTTTAATCCTAGCATTCTGGAGGCAGAGATCCATCCAGATCTCTGAGTCCAAAGCCACACTGGAAATAGCCAGGCATGGTGACACACACCTCTAATCCCAGGAAGTAATTACAGGAAGCAGAAAAGCAGAAAGGCATATAAGGCATGGAAGCCAGGAACTAGAGTCTGTTAAGCTTTTAGGCTTTTGAGCAGCAGTTCAGCTGAGATCCATTCTGATGAGGACACCGAGGCTTCCAGTTTGAGGAAACGAAATCAGCTGAGGAATTGGCGAGGTGAGGTTAGCTGTGGCTGGTTCTGCTTCTCTGATCTTTTCAGCATTCACCCCTATACCTGGCTCTGGGTTTGTTTTTTTTTTATTAATAATACCTTTTAAGATTCATGCTACAACTTCAGCTTTTCCTGGTGATGGTATTCAGGTTGGTCCACAGTGAGGACTCTGCAGGCCTGCTGGCATGCAGAGCAAGAAATTAAAGCTACAGAGTACCACAGGGCTGCTGCTCAGCTTTCAGACTTTGTACATCCTGAGGGTATTGGCAGGTGTTTTAGGAGTTCATCCCGGTTACTGGTCAGTGTTATTTAGATATCTACATTGAAGGAAAGGACTACCTTTCCTTCATCCAATGTACAACAGCATGGTCTCTTCCCAATCAATCTTCAAACTAGTGTTAATAGGCTTGATCATTGTTGTCTAAGATCCCTTTGCTTTCTCCAGCATGGAAGCTCCCAGCATCTGGCAGTGGGTCCAAGCAAATAAGGTCTGGGCCTTTATATGATACTTTTCTTTCTGAGTAACACAATTAAGAATCAGTGTAATGTCATCAGGTGCAAATTGAGAACACTATAAATGATGTACCCATGTGGCTTTAGGTGGCTGTAGGTGGAGTCTGGTCATCTTTCATCATGGAACAATGGTTTAACTAGCATGTGGTGCACTTGCATGAGTGAGTGTGTGTGTGTGTTTTCACAGATACCAATGCATGTGTATATGGCTAACATCAGGTGTCTTTTACAAAGCCTATTGACATGTATATGATCCATTACTGAGCTCACACACACCACGTTGTAGCAATTACATAAGCAAGGAGCAGTATTCTCTGAGTATACATGTCAGCCACAAGAGACAGCAGAAATATATTACAAAAAAACACAGGTGTTGCCTGGAAGCTCCCAGCCCAGGTGTTTTGATTGCTATCACTGTGGCATGCAGATGCAGCAGAAGGGGCCCCTGTCCTTCACACAGAACACACGTATATCATTTCCTGTTAGCTCTGTGGCTTGGTCACTCTGAAGAGTCCCCCTCCCCCAGCCTGCCCTGCTGCACTAGAGATCTCACACTCAGGGAAGTTTCTCCCTGAAAATATGACTTTTTCTGGCTTTGGTCTCTTCTTCAGAGACACACTTCAGGAGATAGCGATAGGTCCTCCTTACCACCCTCTGCACTGGAACATTAAAAAGTACAATTCAACTCAGCTTTGTTAACGTTCCTGTTCTGACATGTCACTGCCTGCCCCTTCTCACACTTTTTCAAAGCACCTTGGCCAGTCCACCTGGCTTGCCACTGAGCATCTGTACAGAACCTCTCTGGTCTTCCCTCCTTGTATATTGGAGAAGATATATATACGGTCATGCCTCAGCCAAAGGTGTGCTTCCATCTGGCTTTGTATTTGTGCCCCAGTCTGAATGCCTTAGAAGGCATCCTGAATACGCCTTTGCTCTTTCCCAACTCTGAGCCGTTCCTAAGCAGCCAGCTTCCTATTTGTGAAGCCTGCTTTGTGCATTTGTGGCATATGCTGCCTTCCCAGAAAAGTGCCCAAAGCCTTCAAAATGTTCACCTACAGCCTCACTTTCCAACAAGCAATGCTGAAGAGTAAACATGTCCCTTTCTGTCTTGGCCTCATGGGAGAGTCGGGCATGGTACTGTGATAATGTTCCTGGACGTAACAGGTCTCAAGTTCCATGAAATATGTGGGTCATGGAACTTCAGGATTCTTTGAGTGACTGTCATTCTAATTTAATAAATACTTCTAACAGCAATAGGTGCTCCTTGAAAGAGAGGGTCATTCTGATAGTTTAAAATTGATTTCTCAGATTAAGGACATCAGAAATTATGGAAGAGAAAGACGCTCAAATACCTAAATTAATTTTAAAAGATGAACATTTCTTAACTGGCATGTGAGGGCCAACTATGTTTAAGTTCTTGAATTTAATATTGTGTGGCCTAGGGAGGAATGGGATAGAATTCTGTCCTTACTCTGCATGAAAGTTAAAAGTTAAAGTTACACACTCATATTCCACATTATAGGTATAGAAATGTCAAAGATTTGAATCCGAGATCTGTATATGAGAAAAAACACAAAGCATTTATCTTTCTAGATCTGAGTTATTCTTCCTCCCTACTGACCAGTGTTCATGGTGAATGGTGCTATGCAGACTGATGTAAAAGAAAAAACATAAATACTCTTACCCAGTACTGGAGCCTACATGCTAAAATACTGACATACCATGCAAAGTCTGACTACTGGTGCATTAGTGGTGTAAGTGTATGGAGTAACCAACCACTTTCAGAATGTATGTGAAGATCACTCCACAAGAGGGAATTCATACCTGGTATTACCAACATGGTCAAAAGCCCATGGCTGGGGAGGGCATAGTACTTGAGTGGAACCAATTATTGTTGTGGTGACATTTTATTTGTACTGAAATGTGATTTCATTTGTATGTTAATAAATAAAGTTGCCTGGGGGTCAGAGCTAATAGCAAGCCATAGCAAAGAACTGGGCGGTGGTGGTGGTGGTGGTGGTGGTGGTGGTGGTGGTGGTGGTGGTGCACACCTTTAATCCCAGCTCTTGGGAGGCAGAGCTAGGCAGATCTCTGTGTGTTCAAGGATACAGCCAGCATGGAGACACGCCTTTAACCTCAATACCAACAATAGAAGACCTGGAGGTCTGTACAGACAGGCAGTGGCGAGGAGGTCATGTGATTGGGTTTACAACCAATGAGAAGGCAGAATAGAAAGTCTATAAAAAAGACAGACAGGAAGTAGCTCTCTCTTGCTGAAGAAGACAATAGCAGCAGTGAAGGGTAAAGTTTTTAGCTCTGACCTCTTGGGCTTTTATTTCTGCATTGGCTCTATGTTTCTTATTTAACAAGACCGTTCATCTACATATTGTCATTGCTAAATGGCTATATTGTCAAAATTTCTTCTAAATATCTATGTTTATGCATATAGATCTGGGCTTCTCTCAACCTTGATCAAAGACGCTTGTTTTGTTGTTGTTGTTGTTGTTTGTTTTTTGTTTTAGTGAGTGACAATCAATTCAAAGACTCATAATGGTCCTTACAATAGATGACTAAAAGTGCTCAGCCCTAAATAAGACATCTTTAACTCCTCCCTGCCTCCTGCCAAGGCCCAGGAGACATACTGGAAGAGGAAGCAGAAATAACGTAAGAGGTGGAGGATGGGAGAGAGGCCAGACATGACATGGCCATTGCACTCTGAATTCACTGCAGCTGTGGATACCTGCACAAGACATGCATAAGATCGAACCAGCGAAAATTCCAGCATGGATCATGGAGGAGGTTGTGAGGATTTAGCCCTAAGTGAAGAGCTGTTGGCAGTTGATAGCTGCTAGATGAGAAAGGATTGTTCTTCTTTGGGGATGTGCTTACTAGTAAGCTTGCACACTTTCTAGTGGATGGCCCAATTCATGTGTAGCACTGACTGAACTTCGTGGGTTATTTTTAAAATGAGGACAAGTATTGCATGGGAAATGTGCTGGAGAATAGGAGGAGGTAGAAGAAGCAAATGATATTTCATTGTGTACACATATGAAACATTTAAAGAATAAATTTTTCAAAAACATACACACAACATAACTGGCATTAAAACATGATAGCCGGCCAGGTGGTGGTGGTGGTGGTGCACAGCTTTAATCCTAGCACTCGGGAGGGAGAGGCTGGAAGATTTCTCTGAGTTTGAGGCCAACCTGGTCTACAGAGTGAGTTCCAAGACAGCCAGGACTACACAGAGAAACCTTGTGTGAAAAAAAAGATAGCTGTGGGAGGGCCATGTTGAATTTCCCTTGCCGCCTTAAAACCAGGGGGAATCTATGTTGTGAATGAAGGAGTGGAGTCTTAAAATAAATGAAAAGGAGTCAAGAGACAGTTCACATCTAATGAATGTATTTAGCAAATTTAATGTAAAATATATTTCATATGAAATAAACTTCATGTGTCAGAGCATGAGTAATAAAAAAAATGAAACAATGCAATTTTATTTACCAAACATTCTCAAAACAACAAAATTTCTTCTGATTCTGTACTTTAACACATAGGACATAAAGCATTTGTTGAATCTATCTTTTTTTTTTTGCCAGCCAATTAGCATGTGAAGTCATGAGATACAAAAATTACTTGAGAATCCCCATTCTTTTTGTTTTTTTTTTCCTTTCTTTCAAAATCTACTATATCTGTTCTAAACAGTCTTTGCTCTAGACTTTTCTAGAACATTCCTGCTGTACTCTGGCATTAGCAAGCTTGCAAACAGACAGCTTTGGACTTCCCTGAATCTTCTTTGTATCTTCCCATGCAAGGTCAGCATCCACACACAAATACACACACACACACACACACA